GACCAGACAAAGTCCCAAGAAACATATCCACCAACTCCCTATCAGACAGAGGGGGTTGGACTCTTCCGGCAAGATCTCTCCACTTCTGAGCGTAGTCCTTAAAGCCTTCGCCTGTACCCATAGACATCCCCTGAAGCTGAGTACGTGTGGGAGCAAGGTCGGTATTATACTGGTATTGCTTGTAAAAAGCAGCAGCAAGGTCCTCCCAGTTGCGGATGTTAGCTCCTTCCAATTGACAGAACCATTCAAGTTGAGTCCCTGACATACTATCTTGAAAGAAATGAACCCAGAGATCTCTATCAGCAGTATAGGGTTGGATCTTCCTCACATATAACCGGAGGTGGAGTTTTGGACAGGATACTCCGTCGTACTTGGCAAAGGCAGGTACCTTGAATTTATGGGGAATCACCACCCCAGAGGATAGACCTAGATCCCCGAAGTCCAGACTGGGAACCTTCTGTATTTCCATGGCGCTCAAACGGTCTTCCAGCTGTTTGTACTTATCCTCAGCAGGAGGATACTGTTCTTCATCATAATCTGTCTCGTTGTCGGAGACCACAGGACTAGGAGCCCTCCTTTCTTGTGGGCTGTCTTTCCCTCCATATGAGGTGGTCAGATCAACTTTGTTTTGCAGCCCGTTTCCGAACCTGCGTCCAGTGTTGAACAGGACGGTCCTCTTTTTCTTCTTCTTCCTCTCCTTCAGAATCAAGGTCTTCAAATCCTGTTGACCCTTGGCTAGGCTCATAACCAACTCTTGAAACTGGGCATTCTGGGTCTGGAGGGCCTTGATAGCTTGTCAGTGGAAGGTTCGGTAGACACGATGATTGCTGAAATAAACAACGAAGAAGATAAGTGACCTGTAAAAGGGTACCTGTAATGCAATGATATGTATGACATATGTATGCAATGTTTTCAAGGATCTCGTGGGGTAAACATAGAAACTTGTTGGAATTTGAATTTTGTAGCTTGATTGAAGGAACTTCATGTTGCTGAGAGTCCTTCTTCAAGAGTCAAGCTCACCATATCGAGTGGGTCATAGCCCCTGACTCAAGTTATCGTGTTTTGATCTCCAACAACCACTACAAGAAAAATGATAGATTGGGACGGTTATTTTGGCTGATTACGACGGTTAAAACCGTCGCAATTTACAATCTACGACGGTAGAAGTACCGTCGCAGAATCGTGCGTCCCCAGCCTATTTCGCGACGGTTGCAAAAACTGTCACGCACAACAGATAGCGACGGTTATATACCGACGTGAATTTGACTTTATTTTTTGTTTTTGTTGTTGTTTGCGACGGTTACTCTACCGCCGTAGGTTAGAAATTGCGGCGGTTTTAACCGTCGTAATCTGATTTATAAATTTCAAATAATATTTTTATTTAAATTATTATTTAGTAAAATAATTTTAAATATAATATTATTTTACTATAATATTTTACTATTATATTTAAATTATTATTTACTTTAATATTTTTTTATTTATAGTATTTTTATTTTATTTTCTATCACTTTTCAACATAATAAAGTTAATTACAATAAAAACATTTAATATCAAATAATCATCAATAATATCAAAAAATGTGATCAAAGGTAAAAAGAAGTGCAAATTTTACCAATAAACAAGAAAAATTCAAATATCATCAAAGGCCAAATTTCATTTTAATATTTACATTGGTTTGCTACAACTTGAGAGAATTACAAAAAATGTTACAATATTCTACAAAATTCATGAAAGTCCTTAGTGTTAAGTGATTTTGTGTTAAACTTCCATGCTAGGACCATGATCCTTCCTTGACTACCATTTGGTCCAATTCTACTTGTCCATTTTTACTTGTCCATTTTGCGCTTCTTCTTGTACCTGCATTACAAAACTAACTGTCAATTATGGGCTGGCAGAATAACTCTCACAACAGTTTGCCTAACACAATGACCAGATCTGTTATTCAATAAAAAAACCATTGTTAGCAGGATTCCTGATATTGAGATTAGAACTGCCATTATTTTACCTTTGCAGTTCGGTCAAGTGAACCACTGTAAAGTCGGTCACCAGATTCTGAAATTGTCAAGCTTGTCACAGCCTTAGTATGTTCTTGGATCTCTTGCAACAGAAGTAACAAGTTATCTTTTAACGTCCAGACCTTCAAAAGTTACAAAGTATTTTCAAGTAAGCTATTCATTCAATCCCAGTAAAGTTGTCATATGAAACCAAGAATCAAACATTTTGCTAATGACCAGGTATATATGTCACGGTATTCATATAGCCATTCAATCTTTCAAGCAAATGGCGAACACCATGTCATGAAAATTTTCTCCTTTTTGTGAAACCTTGTATGTTTTATTTTAATGCATTTAGCTCATGCTAGCACAAAATTTAAATAAGCTATAATAGGTAAAATAATTATATATATTATCTGACATACCGATATAAAACTTATAATATTTGTTTCAATAATTGTAATCACGGCACGTTAAAATTTACACGACATATGAAATCCCAAATTTTATTACCTTGATTCTTCCATCTGTATGGCCTGAAATAATTTTATCCTTGAACCAAATGACTGACAACACTTCTCCATTATCTCTGCAATCTACTTGAATTAGCTCTTTATGTCTCCAAATGTCCTGTTACAGTAAAGAATTTTAAATCATCTGCTATCCCTACACTAGGAAAATGGTTTAAGAATACACCAAACTTAACTGTATTAGACTGATTCTCATCAACCAAAACGTTGAGCATTTCAGATGCCAAGGGAGAAAATCTCTTTAGCTCTCTCAAACCTTTTAAGATATCCTTAGCGTAGGAAGCAGTTAGATCACGTATGCCATCTGAAATTTACAATTTCAAGTACAATCATCATATATTGTTGCTTTGCATAAATGACATGCAGGCTTTTGAACACAATATAGAGAAGCCAGAATAATATCATCTTATCTAAATCTGTTGAAGACTGTATTTGAGTAATTTATGATGCTAACAGAAACTGCAAATTCGATGCTATTTTCCTTCATAGACTATTTTTTTTTGTTATTATTATCTTTCTGCTCTAATTTCTTTAAATCAAGGTTGTAATAAATTGCCATGTTTGTGAAACTTACCAGAAAAATGAAGAAAGCTGTTGAGAGCAAGCATAGAAAGGATTCGGTTCTCTATGTCCTTGGCATAATTTAATTTATTTACAAACTGCTTTAGCAGACAGACACGGGCTGCTCCTTGTATCCCTGTATCTGGTAGAATGGTTAGCATGTTTACGAGCCAAGTAGCGGATATAAAGCATGTTGAACGCAGTTCTGAAATTCTGCTCTTCATGCCATCTGCCAAAGCTTCAAAAAGTATACCAAACTCGTGGCTAACTAGAACAGACGCAATTTTTCTTTCCCAATCATCTGCTGCCTTCTCTTCTTCCTGTTGATTCCGACCCTGAAACAGTGGCAAAAAAGAGAAAACCATGTTAAGCTATTGCGATTCATAACAACATACAGAAACAAAACACACTATTTTCTTAACTGTACGACCAACTTCAGAACCATCAGATTCATCCAGCTGCAGCTGATTGTGTTCTACCATACTATTTTCTTTAAATTTCTAAGAGACCATGGGCTATGGAACTCAGAAATGAAGAAAGGTGATATCCTATCAGCATTACAATTAAGCTATGATCAAATGCCGTCTTATTTGAAGCAATGTTTTGCTTTTTTTTCCCTTTATCCCAAAGGTTTTACCTTCAATAGTGATGAAATTATAAATCTTTTCGCAGCCCTTGGGTTAGTTCAACCTCGAAATGGAAGTGAAAAGATAGAGAGTATTCTAAGAGAATATATAGACGAGTTAAATTCACGATCATTTCTTGAGGATTTCAAAGACTATGGCTACTATTACAAGTTCAAAGTACATGATTTGATACATGATCTTGCAATACATGTTGTGAGAGACTACTTTGTATTGGTAAGCTCGAACACTCAAACTATACCAGAGAAAGCAAGGCATTTATCAATTTTAGAAAATGTTTTACTTGACTCTAGTTTGATTCCGGAGTCCAAAAGAGTGAGAACTATACTGTATCCTGTTCAAGGAGTGGGTCTTAAAAGTAAAGATTGTTTGCACACATGGATATTAAGATACAAATACTTACTATACTTAGATTTAAGTAGTTCTTCATTTCAGACTTTGCCAACCTCAATTGCCAAATTGAAGCACCTGTGTGTTCTCTATATTAGAGATAACCACCAAATTAAAACACTTCCGCGCTCTATTTTCAAACTCCAGAGTTTGCAATTTTTGTCCCTCGTTGGATGCACGGAACTTGAAACATTGCCCGAAGGATTCGGGAAGTTGACAAGCCTTAGAAAACTGTATATAACCGCAAAACAACTTTTTCTGTCACTGGATGAATTTGCAAGCTTGAATCATCTTCAAGTTTTGGGTTTATATAATTGTGACAATATGAAGCATTTGGTCAGCAGGGCAGAAACACTATTCACTTCTCTTGAAGCATTGTATATTCAATCTTGTAAGAACTTGGAGTCTTTCCCTCTTTATATTTTCCCGAAATTGCAAACTCTGGTAATTAAAGATTGTCCGATGTTCAGTCTGTCGTTGAACTATGAAGGCCCAATCCGGAGGCAGAGATTGAGGTTGAAACATCTGCATCTTAAGAGTTTTCCACAACTTTTGAAACTGCCTAGATGGATTGAAGATGCAGCAGAGACTTTAGAAACCTTGAAAATTCGAAAGTTTCCAAAACTCAAGATGCTTCCTGAGTTTCCAACATTAATGACTCATCTCAAAAGCCTATATATTGATCTATGTCCCAAACTTTTGAGCCTTCCAAGTGACATGCATCGTCTCACTGCACTTGAAGAACTTCGCATTTATCGTTGTCCTGAGTTGTGCCAAAAATTACGGCCCCCATCTGGAGAGTACTGGCCCATGATTGGCCGCATCAAGCGAATTTCTATTGGAAAACATTAATATAGGCATCAAACTTGAAGGTAAACATGTTAGGGTCTGTTTACATTCTAAAAGCATTTCTAACATTAATTGCTTTCTGTAGTGATTGTCCATGTAGAAGTTTCTTAGCATCTCGGCGGAAATATCATTGAACACAGTCATACTCCAATAATCCACTTCATCTTCTTGTTCTTCTCACTCTCTTTTTTCCATGTAAGAAACACTCCACAAAAATGCATAATAGTCATATACTAGTACATATTTACTTCAGTAATCTGCATTATATATTTACTTTCCTTTGCTAAGTTTGTTATTTTCCTACATGTAAATTATGTCTTACTAATTTTGTATGAATGCAGGGTTTTATAGCAACCATTGGCAGCAAGGAAATCACTGAAACACAAGAATATTCATTCAAACTAAAGACAAACCCTTTCAGCCCCAAAGCCTCACTCATTCGTCATTGGAACACAAGAATCTCTAACAACCTTCCAAATTCAATCCCTAATTTCTTTCTCTCTAAAGCTTCCCCTCTCACACCACAACACTACGCCAACTTAGTAAATCTCCTTAAACAAAAGCCCTTATCTGCAAATTTCCATAATTCCCTCTGCTCCACACCATACTTATTCTGCTCCTTCGACCACCCAAACCAATATTACCAATCCAAAAAAAACACCAAAGATGATGCCAACTTCGCAGTCTACTCAAACAAAAAATTCGCAGCTTATGGATATCTTCTGAAATATGTGCATACAGAAACACAGCGCATATTGCGGTCACTGTAATCATACTGCAACATATCTTTGTTAGAATCAGCTTAGTAACTGATTGTAGATTAGACCTCTAGAAATAATACGGTCACTGTAATCGTTCATTCATTTTCCATATAATACAAATCCGAAAATTGATGAAAAGGTTTACAAAGTTCCACTTCTCTCTGTTTTCTCAGTCATCTCCTTCGGATCATTCAATTATCATTCTGTCTCCAATACTATTTTCTCAATAAATCCAGCAGACTAAGATAGTGTTTCATTATGTTCATAGGTAGGACGACATGATTTCAATGAGGATTACATAGTTTCCTTTGAAAAAGTAAAGATAATACATATCAGGAAAATCTACATAATCATCCCTTAAAGTTCGCACAAATTTAGTACGAAATGTAAAATAGAACTCACCCTTCCAGGTTCTTAGCCTCACAGAAACTTCTGAAGGCGGCACAAATATTTGTAACTTTAGCAGCGCCAACACTGAAACAAACAATTCACAAATAATAAAATAAGAAGAAGAATAACACAAAAAAATATATTTCTTCAAGCTATAGAAGTAATACACTAAAGATATAATCGAAAACAAATACAACATCAAGTATACCCATAGATGATGATTTGTTTTATCTATGACATCCTCCCATTTATGGTTCTGATTTAGAATTTCATCCATTAAAAACTTCAAATCAGCATCAGTGACAGTGTTTGAGGTTCTGCAATTGTAAACCCTAAAAAGCCCCAATTTCAGTAAAGCGTATGAAATTGAACGAAAATAAAATGAATAAAGTAGAGTAGTAGACCTTGGGTTTAAATTGCTAGAATCGGAGATCAAAGAGGACGCCAACAGGGATCTGCTCTTACGGTTCAGAAGAAACAATAAAGTAACAACAACAACAAGAAGAAGAAGAAGAATAGCGCAGCCACCATAGAAGTTGCTCAAATTTAAAGGGAAGCCATCGAAGCTTCTTAAGGTTCTCATCGAATTGATGTGGTTGAAGTTTGTACAGAGAAAAAGCAAAAGTATGAAGAAATTTGGAGAAAGATACGTGAACAATAAATAAAAAGAGAAATAGACGAATTCGGGGGGACGGCGGGTGTGGTTACCGTCGTGCCCTTTCATAACTGTTGCATGTTTTTTAAAGGTTTAGGGGGGCGACGGTTGTTTTACCGTCGTGATGTCTATTTTAGGACGGTTTCTTAACCGTCGCAACATTCATTTTAGGGAGGTAGGTGTATACCGTCGTGACATGGGTCCCTATATTAGAATTACGACGGTTATTAAGTAACTGTCGCAATTTTTGTGTCGTAAAATCCTAATTTTCTTGTAGTGAACCTTGGCTAGAGGAAAATAAATCCCCTTTGCCCCTTGCTAGACATTTGGTTCATCATGACATGCATCACAAACCCTTGAGATCCTTGAAATGGTTAAGGAAATGCTATGGTATGATGTTATGATGTCATGATAAAGGCACACCACAAGTATTCACAAAAGGCAAACATGGTAAAGGCACACAAGTCACACAAAAGAGCCCTTAGATTTCAGGTTGGCATGAAGTTTAGGTACTACCCTCTTTCAGTTTCAGTTGGTTAAGACCTGTCCTAAAAATAGTAACCGGGTTCTAGAGGATCTCAATATCACTGACTACCATCAATCGGTCATAATTCCAGTTTGGCAACCTTTTCTTGTGGCCGGAACCATCGCGAGAGTTTAGTCTCAATGAGTGTAGAATATTGCTACTGTTCTATGGCCAAGTTGGTTAATTTAAGGTTCTAAGGTCAGTTGGTGCTTAATGACTCCTCAGAAGACCCATATTCTCCTTGTTCCAACACAAGGGATATCGGTACAGACCAAGGTGTCACACCAATGTAGCTACTGCTTTACCCGTGTCGGTCTACGCCGGACAGGTCCCTCACAGTTTATTGCTACTTACCTAAAAAGGGGTACCCCAGGTCCGGGTTAGGATCTATAAAACTCTGATACAAACCCACAAAATTAAAGCATACAGAGCATACAATTGAAAACATAAGTTATCTTATCCTAAGGTACACCTCACTTATAGTATCCCCAGCAGAGTCGCCAGTTCTGTGATCGGTGGAAATAGAACTGACTGTTTTGGAATGCTGGTTCGCGTTTGCGTTTCGCAAAATGTCGCGGTAAGCAAGAGTCGCCACCGTCTTTTATTTTCTCCAACAAGGAAAGGATAAAAGCACAACAAAATTCCTTTTCGAGATGTTTCTCGGGTTCGGGAGGTAGATTATAGAAAGGGAAGGTGTTAGCACCCTTTCTATCCGTGGTTATCCACGGGATCTTAGGTACTTGCTCACTATGTTTTCAAAAAGTTTTGCTTTTCTTGTGTTTGTGGGTTTTGAAAAAGTTTTGTTTGAAAACTCCGATTTAACTCTTATATCTGTCCTCAAGAGTGTATGAAGTGTTTGTTTGAAAACTTTGTTTGAAAAAAAGTGTAAGTGCGAAAAGTTGTTTTGTTTTGAAAGAGCAAGTACCCAAGAACCTCTACCTACTCAAAAGAAATTAAGTTGTGTAAATGTCCTTTAGACAGTGCTATCCCACTATTGAGAAGTAGGTAGCACCGTCGTTGGAGTTTTCGGGTCAATTCGATTAATGGGACATGTGGTCACTAAAGCAATAGTAGGACGCCTTAGCGGTAACCCTAATGTCTTAGATCATTTTTTATCGAGGCAACCGTTTTGAGGCAACTTTGATCTTTAGACAGGAGGGTGACCTCTAAAACACCCTATACTCAATGACCACGTCGAGGATACCAAGTGAGGCGTACCCTAGGAGTGGCATGTGCAAATGTGTCAATTTTCAGTTATGTTATCTTTGTACATGTTATGGTGAGCTACGATTGATTTTAAATTAAGAGAGATCTTGTCATGCATAGCCTAGTTAGCATACATCTAGCAATTAATAGTTGCGGAAAATAAAACTAAGCTATTACAAGGCGTCGGGTATTTACATCGCCAAAAACAAACCCTTGAAAAAGTAAATTGCGGAAAGTAAATGAAAGCGATAAAAATTCCTAATTAAAGCTATTACATCCTCGGAGCAAATACAATTATATAGATCAAAACATGAATCAAAAATAATCACGCGCGAGAAAAATTGAATCGGAGATTTTTTTAGGGTTTTGACCCTTTTTGAGAAAAAAAGAGATTTTTGTTATTTTGTATTTAATTAAATTAAACCTAGACTAATTAATTAATTAAATAAAAGAAAGATATTTTTTTGTTTTTGAGTTTTAAGGAAATAAAGAAAAATGGTCAAAATTATTAAAACCTAATATTCTAATTAATTTTATTTTGTGAAAAAAAAGGTTAAAATTATGCCTAATTAAAAAACTAAATCAATTAAATTATTTATTTACAAAAATAATAAAAGTGATGAATTTAATAAAAATAATGCTTTTTGTATTTTTTTGATTTTTATTATGAAAATGTTAACTATTTTGTTAGTAATTAAATCAAGAAAATAAATCAAGTAATAAAAAATATAAATGAAAGAATAAAAGGCAAACCCAGGGGGTGCTGGGCCAACTTTGGAGGTGTATTTGGAATTCTCAAGGCCCAATTGCTGCAAGCCTTATTGACTTTTCTGGATCGTCCACACGTATGTTGACCACGGAGTATGATAGTCCTTCAATCCTGGCCTTCAGATTTGTCCAAGAGCCACTTGGCGTGTGGATCTCTGAGGTGTATGGTGGATCACGCGTTGGAGAGTACATGGGATCACCTGCATAAAGAAAACAAATAATTGTTTTCGGGGACCTGGGATTCGAACCCAGGCCCCAGTGCTCATTGGACATTCGCTCAACCACTCCACCAACCTGCCTTATTCGTTATTGGGATAACAAGCAATCAATATATTAGTAAACAAACAAATATGCTGGAATTATAAAATAAAGCGCGCGAATTTTAAAAGGGCGAATGGGAGGGAGATGCGTCAGCGTCTTCTTCGTTGAGCACTGGTTTTTTACCTGCGGATTTTTATCCGCAGGAAGTTTCGTAGGTTCTTCCTAAAATCACTTCCAAGCAATATAAATGCAGACTAAAATCATCCCCATGCTCGTTTCGTCCTCCTGAGTCCATCTATGGTCATGGCTTGCTCTAATTTTCCCTGTAAACAAAATGCCTAAAAAGCACAAACCGAAACCCTAGGTTCGGGCATCATGATACAGGGCATAAAAACGAAATTGAATATTGCAATTAGGTTAGAAATCAAACAAGAAACATGAATATGCCAATGTTTTGAAGAAAAAGCGCAAGAATTGGAAGTTTGGATTTCGTGTTCACGGCCACATTCGCGAGGACTTACAGTGAGCTGTAGGTGATGAAAAGGTCTGGTTCTTATGCCAATCGCTTCAGGGGATGGTAGGCAAGTGCTCTACGTTGAGCTTTGGTCTTGAGAATGTCCCTAATGTGGATTTCGATCTCCACTTTTTCCAAGCTTTTTCAGTTTTGGTTTCTTGATTTTTAGGCAGCTTCAGGTCGTGAATTAGGTTTAGGAGGCTTGCTTGCATATATGGCAATCAGTCTAGGTCAAAATTTGGGCTTTTATCCATGTATATGGGAGAATTAGGTTTGCACTTTTTCACCATTGACAAACTTTCCAAATATGGCCAAATATGAGATTTTATGCACAAATAAGCCCTAGCACGAATTGGTTAGTTGTCACATGATATATGAAAGCTGTACAAATCACAAAGATACTATTCCATTGATTTTTAGGTTTTATTTGAATTATTATAGATTTAAAATGAATTAAATCAATAAAAATTAAATAAAATAGAAAAATAAATGTTTGGTCATGATATCAAGCATGGGACACGTGTGTGGCATGACAAGGCTGAATCAAGTGGAAGAAAGTGGGCCCTTTTGTCAAAAATTGGAGTTTTGAGGATAGTTGACTTTTGCAAATTCATGAAAATTTCCCAACTTCTCCAATGCACAACTTGCTCAATTTTGATCATATGACCATGTTCTTGGACATTTTGGAA